TGGATGCCTACTTTCATGCTCAGAGTTGAGTAGTTTCCACAGACTGTATAGCCTAAAGTATTTACTACTTGTTATGTAAATACTTTGCACAACCTTGTTCTCAAAGAAGATATACTGAATTTCCCACTAGTCATGTCCATGTGATGTCATCTCTGGAAACTTGTACTTTTTATGTAGTCTTTTTTAATATTCTAATTTTTTACAGTAAACATGCTTTTTCATTAGGGAAAAATGTAAAGATTAAATATTTTAAAAGGAAAATACCTCCATAATCAAGCACATCTGGACAGTTTACTAGATTTGTGTTCCTGGAACACAGAGGTGCTCATTTGGACAGTGCTTCCTAATTGTCCATTGTGAGGGGTTGTCTTTAAAATTGGAGTTAATTAGAGTCTCTGGCGGCACTTTTGGAAAATGCAGTCTCCCTCTACTCCCTATAAACTTAGTTCTGCAAGCATCCTTGACACTTGGGTAGGGGATAGGCACGTTGTAGTTTCCCTAAGATTACATTAAGCTCTGGTGCTCCTCAGGATATCTGCCTCTCTCATTGTAGCCACAGTTTGTGTATACTCATAAAGGCTATGCTTTTTGCAAACCAAATCAGCCATACTTTCCTAGCACAACAGATGCCACGTATTTTCAAGTCGTCTCATTTCCCAAAGATAATGTGGTCAGACCATGCTTAGCCTACCTGAATGACCAACAGAGCACATGGTAGGAAATACAGAGCACCAAGATGAGAAGAGTTTGCTTTAGTAAGGCACGAAGACACTCCCATTCTAACCTGTTTAATAGGCAGACCCCCTGCCCCACCCCCATGGTTCCCATTCTGCTACTGTTTCCACAAGTCCTCCACATGTGGAAGATCTAAATTCAAGAAGGCAGTATAGTTTTTTCTTTCAAAAAGATGACCCCGAAGTTGTTTAAATTAAAATATATAGGAAATACCTAGAAAGTTTCAGGACCAGGCAAAGACATGAGACTTAAGAATGACATTCAACTATCTATTTTTAAAATTATATTTATTTATTTGACAGACAGAGATCACAAGCAGGCAGAGAGAGAGGAGGAAGCAGGCTTCCTGCTGAGCAGAGAGTCCGATGCGGGGCTCGATCCCAGGATCATGACCTAAGCCGAAGGCAGAGGCTTTAACCCACTGAGCCACCCAGGCACCCCAAGAATGACATTCAACTATTAACTAATATTTACTTTGCTCAAATCTTTATAATTTTTAATTCCAATTCTTGCTGAGGTCAATAATATGCCCATTTTACAGACAGGGAAGCTAAAGTACAGAACTACCACATATGTTAGTTGTGAGAAGGAGGATTGAAATGTTGACTGTCCACTAAAGTATTGCTTCCTTTGGTATATAACTCTTATTTTTCTTCATGGTCATGTTTTGAAAAATAGGGTTTAGTAACTCAAATTTTTTACTTAAAATATTAACTTATTAAAAGAGATGTTACTAATATTAAGGACTAAAGTTTAAAATAGCACTTTACCTTAATCTCGTTCATTTAGTCCTTTAAGATATTTGCGATATAGCCAGAGGAATGTTGGATTAATTTTAATAGTGACTACAACAAAATAACTTTCAACATTCCAGGTATACAAATAAACTTATTTTTCTATGAAATTATACTAAAACTTCAGCAAAAAGGGTATAAAAATGATACTGCTTAAAATACTAATAATTTGGGCACCTGGGTGGCTCAGTTGGGCGGCTGCCTCTGGCTCGTCCCACATCGGGCTCCCTACTTAGCAGAGTCTGCTTCTCCCTCTGCCCTTCAGCCTACTTGTGCTCTATCTCAAATAAATAAATAAAATATTTTTTTAAAATACTGATAATTCATTACATCCAGAAGGGTGCTTTGGGGGTTTTTTTATTGTTTTGGGGGGGTTAGGGGTTTTGTTTTTTGTTTTTTATAATTTTCCTCAGCATCCTTGTATTTAACTGCCGTAGTATTTATGAGGTAGATAGGACCAGAGCTGTCAGCCTGGTCTTCTAGAACTAGAAATCAGGACTCACAGAGGAGGCTGGAGCGAGGCCTGGAGTCCAGCTCTCTGGTCACCTATAGGAGCATTTACTGCCCATCTAGGCAAGCAGTTCAGTGGTTTGCCAGGCTGTCCCTCCAGCCTCTGATGTGGATGCTCTTAAGACCTAGATGAGTAGGATATTTTAGGCATAGTTAGGTTAAAAGTTAGACACCAGATGATCAGGTTCCCATTTGTGCCTGACTGATTTGAGACCAGGCACTTATTGATACAGACAGGATTTCCAGTCCGTAAAATGGAAATACCTGCACTTCCTTAGATTGCCCAAGGACATTGCTTATGGGCCAAGTGGCAATTCGTAGCAGAGAGGAATTAGAGAGCCTACGACCTGTGAAACACTGTGGACAGGAGCCATGACCCAAAGTCATCAAGCAGCTGGCAGTGGTGACTCTTGCTGACTCCTGCTTTGTCTCAGTAGAAGCCAAGACATTTTCTTTAACATCTTGTCCAGTTCCTGGACTGAGAGTTCACTGAGAAACTTACAGTGTTTTCTCCTCTAGCCCTTGTGCTGGCAGAATGAATTTACCAGCATGCTCTCCAGCGTGCAGCTAGAATGTGCCCCAGGAAATAAATGTAGGCTAAGGAAGTTAACGGGACAGCATTCGCATGAGGAGCTGTGCTTCTCTGATCTGTAAATCTTCACTCATATTTCGGTTTTGCTGCTTATTGCCCTATGTTCTTATCTTGAAATTTTCAAATTTATGTAGTAGTTAATGGTGGTGGTGGTAATGGTGGTCAAATGAACCCATGTGTATCCTTAACATAGATGAATGATTATTAAGATTTTGCCACGTCTTTCATTCTGTGGTGGTGATGTGTGTGTGGGGGTGGTGTGCTAAAGCATCTGAAAGTAGTCTGTAAACATCATTGCATTTTATCTCACAATACTTTAGTCCACATGTCCTAAGAACAAAGATATTCTCTCGTGTAACCAATACCATCATTGTATCTAAGAAATTGAATAATAATTCCATAATATCTAATCTTCAGTCCTTATCACATTTCCAGTTGTGCCCCAGATTAATTTTATAGGGTACAGGACCTAATCAAGGTATGCATTGGCATTTAGTTCTTATGCCCCATTAGTTTCTTTCAATCTCTTATTTGCTTAATTTCTTTTAGTCTGTAACACTTAGCCCTGTGTTAAAATTTTCAGAGAAGTCTTTTTTGAAGAGTCCAGGCTTGCTGTCCTATAAAAAGTCCCATATTTTGGGTTTGTCTGTTTTTGTTTTTGTTTTTGTCCATCATACTTAGATTCAGATAAAACTTTTTTTTTTGGAAGACTATTACATAGGTAATGTTATATAATATTTATTATGTCATGTCAGGAGATAAATAAGGTTGAGTGGTTCCATTAATGAGAGATGGTAAATTTGATCAGATCTCTTAGGTAAGCCCAAATTGAATGTTGTAGTTTTCTTTGACTAACCATATAGCATTGTTTCAATTATTTTAAGCATGTATTATAAGAACAATAAATATTTCTGGTTTAGAGATAATGGTAAGTAGAGACTACTGCTAAGTACTGTTTACCTTGTGTGCCCTTTATTCTTCATGTAAGTACCCCAAAGAACCCTTACTCAACACATTTCCTTCTGCCTTCCTTTTCATGACTATTCTTGAAATTTTTTTCAAATAAGCTGCTGGTGAGGACCCCAGATCAAGAGGGAGATAAGAATAAACATTTATGGAGGGAGGATAACAGTAGTATGAACACTTACTGAGCCATTACCATGTACCATGGCATGGGGCTGAAGACTTGGTGTACATTGTCTGCACAGTAACCCTGTTAGGGGTAAGCTGCATTGTTTCCCCATTGAACTTAGGAAGCTCAGGCACAGAAAGATTGCAGATCTTGCCCAAGGACCCACAGCAAGTAAGTGGTGGAGCTAGGGTTCTCACCCAGGGCTGACTAACCCTGGAGCCCATATCTTAGTTACTGTGTGTGCTCTGCTACCGTGTCGGGTGCCAGGTATCCTCCCAAACGCCATCTGGTGCATTTGCTTGTGTAATTCTCACATTAGCCTATAAGAAACTGTCTCAAGTAGATGAAGTTACTTACCCAAGGGCATGTGATATCCGAACCATTTATCCTATTTTGTGGTTCTCTCCCATGTTTCAGCCAAGGTCTTTAACAGCAGAGTGGTTTGTCCAGCGGGGTCCCTTTTCCCACTTCCCAGCACCCACATAAGCAGGAATCATGTGCTGGAAATGAAACCAAGTGACAGAAGCAGCTGCACAAGCAAGAGAAGCCTGATCGGGTCCACATTAACCAGATGACAGGAGTGAGAGCCTTCAGTTACAATTTGGGGACCATCAGTGAGAAATGGGATGATCGTGAACCTGAAATAAAGGTTATTGAAATAACACTGGTCTTCCAAAGGAAAGCGTTTCCTTACCGTCTGCCCTCTCAGCAGAGAGGATGCGGCACTCTTGTTGTTTGAGTAACTTCAAACCAGTGGTCAAAGCCGTGAAGAAATTCCTGAAGGAAAGTGTGATTGCTTATAGTTTCTGATGCCCACTATTGATTTCCTTTTTAGAATTTTTTTTTCAACATCATCCCTGAGTCTATTTATAATTCTAGCATAAGAAACTGAGAGTAGTAGAATTAAAGCAAGTTAACATGACCTCTTTCACAGGCTTTTTGTGACGATTAAATTTACACACACAGTGTAGCAGAGTGCTCACACAGAGTACGCATTCAGTGTGGAAGCTACTGTTACATGATTACGTCATTGCATTTTGTATTCTCACATGATACGGTCCTGGGAACCTGACCTAAATGAGGACATTGGGCCCCTCAGCTCAGGAAGACAAGCATTCCAGACACTGCCTGGTTAGTACCTAAGTTAGAGACTAGATCTCCCCTAGGGACCCTCTCTGGTACTGGCAGGAGGCTCCTGTTGCCATGGTGTCCATCACACTCCGTCTTTCTGTTTCAGGTGGTTAGCTCAACCAACGGAGAGCTGAATGTCGATGACCCCACGGGAGCCCACTCCAATGCACCAATCACAGCTCACGCCGAGGTGGAGGTAGTCGAGGAAGCTAAGTACGTTCATCTTTCATGGGGGCTCTTGTGTCCTAGGTTGAAAAGTCTTCTCTGTCTTTTCCTTTCTATGTGCTGCTCATCTCACACTGGATTCCTCATGCTTGTGTCCTTAGCTTTCTTCCTTTGACTGTTTTATTTTTTTGCATGGTACCTTAAGGCTGCTTCTGCCCTTCTTTAGCTGTGATTTCTGGGAAGATCATCACATTTTTCTAGTCCACATGGGGCAAAAGACCTAGTGAACTAAAAGAATCGTGGTGTAAGAAGCTAAAATGGATAGTAGTCATGAGCCTCTTGGGTCCCTCGAGCTTCTTGCTCCCTGTGGGATACAGAGAAAAATCTGCTTATCTGAAGTCATGGACCATACTGAACAGCATTTGATGCCTGGTTCTTGGCTAAGAACTCTGCATGTATAGTCCTGGAGCAAGAGTTTTAGGGCCAATTGTGTTCTCACTTAAATGATTCTGGAATCAGAGAGACTCTGATAAGTCAGGCAAGATATCTCTACCTGTGAGGAAGAGTTTTGGGAGGAGAGGAAATCACACTATTGGGGAGGGGTGAGTCCACTCCCTTTTCTGCTTCTCTTGCCTGTGAATGTATTGCCCTACCATACCACCAGCCCCTTGGTGCTCTCTGCATGGCGTGTGGTTAAACTCTTAGCATAGGGGGTAGAAGGGGGAGTAACTGCCACGTCTACTGCTAAAGCAGTGTTTCTATCACTTCTTTCCCTTTTTGCCCCATCCCAAATTCCAATCCAGGCCGAAACTCCAAGAAGACATGAGGTAGGGAGAGAGAAGTCCTTTACAAATTAGTAACCGCTGCCGAGCCTGACACGGATGACCTTTCTTAGAAACCCTTCGAGAACATTCAGTCTATCCCAGTATCTCGTTCTCAGAAGCAGACAACATACGAATAGTGACACTGTGTCCCAGGTGCTCTCTTGAGCGCCAGGTGACCTCAGTACCCGCCAGAACATGCTTACACCTCTGGGTGTAAAGTGGTGGGAGGCCAGTCGAGACCTGCATTCTCCCTTCGGGCTACACTTTGCATGCTTGTCCCCTGCCCACTCCTCTGCTCCCCTGCCCATCCGTATGACAAGCTCACTTTGCTTCCAAGAGGTCCTTTCTTCAGAAAGCCAGGATTTGGGGATTCCTTCCCAGTAGGTAAAGAACAACTCAAGGATGACTTGGACTCTCTCTTGTCAAGTCCCTGCTGACTGCAGGCAGCTTCAGATGCTCCTCTCCTGGTTTCTGGAGAGCCCTTATGAGCAAGGAAGGCAGGGGCAGTTTTTAATGCCAGGGAGAGACCATTTTTAGTAAGGAAACATGCTCTCTGGTCTCAGAGACTTTGGAGATTTTAATAGTACTCACAGTTTTTCCAGCTTCTGTGACAAAACTTCATTCTCTGAAATAAACAGTATAGTACTTCCTATCCTCTGGGTTCTCAACCTTGGCTGCACTTTGGAATCACCTGGGGCATGTTAGAAAATACGTATTTCTGAATCCTGGTCCCAGAGATTCTGCTTTTATCTGGGATTATGGCCTTAGCATCAGGAAATTTTAAAGTTCAGATGATTTGAATGTGTGGCCAAGGTTAGGAATCAGGACATTAAGCATGTTCTGATTTAAACACTGTCTGGCCTTGAAAGATGGGTATACCCATTCCCACCCCCACCTCACTCCCAGTTCATGTTGTGGCTATTACTTTGGAGGCCAGGCATTTAGTTCTGGATTTAATAGTGTACTTTGAATACCAAGATTGAATGGGTTTTCGTCTTCTGGTGTGTCCTGTATAGGTTTCTCTTTTAAACCCATTCTCTCATTTCGTTTTGGTAAATGTGTACACTGATTGTATATGTGACTGTGGTGTTTGTGTCCTGTGTGTAAAAGAGGGGGCTGTTCACACAAAGAGATTGCAATGCAGTGAATTCTGTTCTGGAATATTCTAAACTCTAAGATGTGATGAAGAGTGTTTAAAGTCCCCCCATTTAGTAAAAAGGACTGCTGTGCCTCTTTGCCACTAGTTCCAGGTTTGGGCCTTCAGAAATGTGTGGAAACCAGGGGGGAGCAGTTGTCTTTGACCAAATGTCATCCAAACGCTCAAAGCTTAGGGCATTTTGTGTGCTGATTCCCCCAGTGATTTCGTGAGCTACCAATCCATCTTGCCCAGGGAACTGTCAGCACAACCATGTGTGTTTCTTCTTGGCCATCTCTGTGTTTTGGAGGGAGGGGGTAGCTGTGAATCCACCTGCTCGATCATTTTCATGGGAAGAAGTCACAGCTAGAGAAGCACGAGACGTCCCAAACAACCCCTCATTGCACGCAGCTGTGATGTCATTTGTCCATGCAGCCTGCTTGTGGGAAAAAGAGGGCTGTTGCCTCTGTTAAGATTCACCCAGGGACTGGGGAGATACGTGAAACCTTCCCTTCCAAGCTTTTGAGTTTGGGTTCCTCACCCAGCTTGTTTTGTGTAAAGGAGGAGAGACATAACAGGGTCTTGGTTTTTGTTCTGTTTACGAAATGAATATCTAACTGCCCTTTTCTTCTGGTTATAGGACACATGTCCTTGTTTAAATATGATTGGAAGGGTGGTGAGGAAGACAGCTTTTTGGTTGATTTTTGTTAGGGTAAAAATAGGAGTTTTTGGTTAGCTACCAAATATAACTTAGCAGTTTCTCCTGGGAATTAACAAGAATGGGATGTAGGCCCTTCTCCTGGCAGTTATACCTTAGTCCAGAGCAGTGACCCTTCTTGCTCTGCTTCATTTCCTACTAAAATAAAGGGTGGCTGAAGCCTTTCCCCCCTCCTCTAGGGGGAGAGCTAACTGCCAGCTGCTTTGGTCAGGCATGTTGGAACTCTGGAAAGGCTAAGGACTTCTCTTTCCCTCAGAATAGTTGAGAGGTCAGCCTAACATTGTACAGTAAAGCTTTGTGTGGGAACCAAAATGGCTCACTTGGTGCTTGGTTCAATTCTTAGAGGCAGAATTGTTTCCTCTTTCTCCTGCTACCTTTCTGGAAATTGCCCAGGAAAACCCACTCTGGGGTTCTTTCTGTTTTACCTTTCCCCTCACTGAGATACCCAGCTCCCTCCTCTATGCTTCTGTCAGGCACCTGCCCCCTCCTCCTTAGCGTGGGGGCCAAGTGGCCTGGGCGTACTCACCGTACCTCAACAGAGGAGGAAACGAAACACAGACACATACTGCATGTTTGCATGGCTCACAGGGAGTCGCTTCCATCTCACCTCTGTGGACTAATATCTCTCTTTCTCTCTTCCTTTCTGTGTTTTTCTCTTTACACACTCTGTAGCTGCCTGAAAATGCTCAACCTGTGGTGAGTCCCTCTCTCCAGTCCACATGCTAGGGGAGCGGACCAGACTGGGCTGGGATTGGCAAAGCCAAACAAAATGCCTTAGGAACACTGAATGGCTTCCATACGCCGCCTTGTGCCATAACCACCCAGACTGGGGAACTAGATCCACAAGGTGGGGATGGGGCAGGCCTATACCCAGGAATTAATCTGTTCCTTCTTTCCTTTCAAACCCATCTCATCGCTGTCGTCTCCTGTCAAAACAATATCCCACAGTATCCAGAATTACCTTTCTATTTTTAGCTGAGTGAATTGTCTCCCAAACTAATAGATCAGAGATAATCAGACAGAGAGGGACAGGAGCAGGAGGACAAGGTTACTAATCAGTTGTTTAGATTATCATTCACAATGTCAGTTGTTGCCAGATAATCTCACATTCTGTAGCTTGGTCCCTCACCTGGAAATTGGCTGCTTTGCAAAAAATCTGTGACTTTCCTTTTTGATTCAGCTGGTTCTTTCATCTGTAGAATGAGTCTCTCAAAAAGAGCTCCTTCTTGGGGGGAGAAATGGACATTTTGTTGTTGTTTTGTTTTTTTTTGTTTGTTTGTTTGCTTTTCGTTTATTGTCTTTTTCTTCTTCTTTTTTTTTTCCTGTCAGAGTACATTTAGTAGGTCAAGGGCTGACTCGGTTAATGCAATATTGAAGCCTCTCTTTTCCAACTCCTGGAGAAGGTTCCTTGAATGCATTCTTAGGAACAATAGGAGCTACGTGGAAGGGGAAGCCCTAAAGAGTCCACGTTCAGTGAGGCACATTCTTGCTACAGGAAAGAGCCCTCTCTCCAGCTTTCTTCTTAGCTGCTGCCTGTGGCCTTCCAGATGCTCCTGAGCGAGTTGGTCTGTTGTGGTCTGGAATGAGAACCCCCCCACATCGTCTGCATGCATGGGGTCGTGTTCTACATGGTGATAACAGTCTGCTGGACTCTGTGATCACCTTGTTTCTATTTGTCTTCAGGGACTGGGTTGGACACCAGTTTCTGAACCCCAGGTGGTCTAAGCCAAGTTGCCTACAGGGACAGGGCTATGTGGAAGATAACAAATGGGTTTAATGGAAATAGACTTTGCAGTCTTATGGTACTGAGGAGCACATTTGGCCTGTTTAATCTAACAAACATGTCTGTGTAAATCTGACATTGTCATAGTCTATTTTTTCCTGTGAGATGTCAGTCGCATAATTCTGAATGTAAATACAGAGCCTGCTGTGTGCTTATCCAACTCTGCTTGGAAGTCTAGGGGGTTCCCCAAAGCTTAGGTACCATCTGGCTTAGGTACTCCAAAAAGTTTAGGTGCCACCTAGCTGTAGAGATAAGACATATATACTTGAAAGGACAAGTAGTTCTCCAGGACACTTGTTGTTGTCCCCCAAGTGGTCACTATGGACAGGAAGACTTCACGGATATGGTGGGGCCTGAGCCAGGCATTAGAGCAAGGGAAGAATGTAAAAGAACACTCAAGAAGAGATGGGTGACAAAGGGGTAGCAGACGGGGAGAGGGCCAGGATGTAGCAAGAGTGCAGTATGGGCGAGGTAGTGGCTCACAGGTCTGGAGAAAGAGCACGTGGTGGCTTGGGACCAAGGAGAATAGACTGATTCTGACTCCAGCATGTTAAGAACTTCTGGTCATCCAATCAAAGAATCAACTGGAAGAAAACCTACGACATAAGAAGGGTTCATCACGCACCTTCCTTCTCTTCAGAGAATAAGATGTCTGTATGGAATTAGTCAGTGGGCTTGGTCTGGGGTCTGACCCAGTTTAACAGGCCCTGTTGCCAATAGTAACCACAGAAACTCGAGGGTCGAAGAACAGATTGTGGGGCCTGTTTCCTTGGGGTTAGAATTAAGAAAAGCTTCTGCTACTGCTGAAGCCTTAACTATAGTAACTAGCAAAAATTCATCCAGGCCTGAAAACCACAGCTCACATTCCCCTCCGGTCAGGCAAATTCAGCACAGCACATCAGGTTATGATGTGCTTGTAAGCAGATGTTAATTCTTAGGATTTGCCTTGAAGGAGGTAAAATGAAATAGTATAATTTGAAATGGACCAAAATAGTATTTTGGACTTCATTGTGATTGTTCTTATTAAAAACACAAAATCCTCATTTTAGCACCCCCCCCAAAAAAGAAGAATAGAAATTGACTTAAATGTTAATGATGTCTCTGAAAATCATGGTTTACAGGGAACAGGTAGCTCTGTTGAAGTACTGGTGCTCTCATGAAATTTAATTTGCCTTGTTTAATGTTAATTTCAGGACCTTCAACTTGGAAATGTCCATTTTCTAAAACATATATAATAGAAAAAGACCATTTTTTTTTTTAAAGCCTTCTCCAGGGAGAAGACCGTCTTAAATAATTGAAAGCATTGGTCATTTTTATTTAAAAGAATTTATTCAGTCTGCAAATACACCTGCCGTTTGTTTAGGGACTATATTCACACCCATTAACAGTATTTCATGGGGCACCTGGCGGGCTCAGTTGGAAGAGCATGTGGTGCTTGCTCTTGGGGTCATGAGTTTGAGCCCATGCTGGGGGTAGGGATTACATAAATAAATTAACTTCAAATAGTATTTCACAAAAGTCATTAATACCCTCAGAAAAGCTTTTTTAAGACCTCCTTAAGGTCACGTTTGATACATATAGATATGGTTAAAGGTTATCATTACCTGTATAAATGTCTGTTTCTGCATTCTAAGAGACCTCCAAATTTTTAATAACCTGTCCTTTGGGTGTCGAAGTACCAAGGGGTCAGACTGAAAACGGAATGAATCTTAGCTACAACAGAGAATTTTGGGGCATGAGAAGTAAGCAACAGTTTTTTATTTTCATATGAATGGCCCTGGCGTTAAACCCAGAGGGATTTAAGCAGGAGAACCAGAGACTTTTCTCCAAAAAGCTTTCCTTTCAAGGGTTAAGTTTGCAACTTGACTCCCCCCTCCACCATCTGGCATCTTTGACTCATCTACACCTTCTGGCCCTCCCATCCTCATTTCGCACACGACGGCTTCCTGGGAAGGACCTGTCTCTCGCACCAGCCATGCCACCGCCCTCATCACCCCCTCCTGGACCTGCTCCCCATTCCAGTGACAGGAGTAAGGAGGCGATGCTGGGGCTCAGGGCTGTGCTGGAGCCGTGGCTGTTGCCCGAGGGAGCAGCACGTGGAGGGCCGGGGAGGGGAGCAGGCCCTGACCTCCACCCTACACAAGGGCCAGCCCTCTAGCCCTGTCTGGTGCCGCAGCAGCAGGCTCAGGAGCTAAGCTGAGGACCCTGCAGCCATTCACTTGCCGAGGGTCAGAGCCTGGGCTGTGGTACCAGTCCCCTCCAAGCAGACAGTGGGCTGTGCTGATTTCAGTCAGAGGATCTGGGCTCACAGGACTCACTAGATGTGGGCCTCCTCCTGCCTGCTCTGGTTGGGTGAGTGTGGAGATGAGGCTGCGGGATGGAGAGAATCCAGAATCCTGAACTGGCAGCATCATGAGGTCCCTCTAGAGTTGCAGTCAGATTTTGTGGGGGATTTGTCTGCCTCAGTTTAGCTCCATACCCGCTGGCTACTGCAGCTGCATGAAATCATTTTGCTCTCTGTCTTTGGCAGCCCTGAGGACCCCCAGCCTTGTTCTAGATAAAGATGAGCACTGTGGGCTGAGTGGGAGACTGGGAAACAAGCCTCCTTCCTCCTCCTCCCAAAGATGCCTGTTTTGGCCCTGCCTAGCCTGTAGCCTCTGGATGATGAGGTTTGGTGGCTACAGATTGAAATGAAGCAGCTGTTCCCTTTGGCTCTCCTGGCAGACACTGCCCACTGCTTCCAGTGTGTGCACCGCTGATGCGGGTGGCCCTGTGGGTGGGTGCCAGGGGGGAAAGCCACCCCCCCCACCTCAGTAAGCAGAAGCAGGCAGAAGCTGTCGGAAGCTGCAGGCCTCCCGCACTGACTTGCGCTGTTCCTTGTGCTCCAGGTGCTGCTGTTTCTTTAAGAGGAAAAGGAAGAAGACTGCCCAGCGCCACAAGTGACCAGTGCCTCCCAGGAGTCCTCAGGCCCTGGGGACTCTAACTTGATTGCACCTGCAGCTCCTGCCACTTTTCACTGGAAGGGACTCCTCTGTGGGGGAGGGTAGAGATCCAAACCAAAAAGAAGAAAACAGATGCCCCCAGAAGGAGCCAGTGCGGGCAGCCAGGGCCCAGTAGGTCATTGGCCACCCCGCCTGCCTAAAGCTCTGAGCAGGTCCCAGAGCTGCTGCTCCTCCACTGATTGCCCTTGGGGGGCTGCCTGGTTGACTCTCCTTCCTATTGTTTACAGTGAAGGTGTCATTCACAAAAACTCAAGGACTACTATTACTATTCTCTTCCCTCCCCGGTAGTTTACTCCTGGTTCTTGCCCCACCCTCAACCCTCTCCAGCATAAAAGCTAGTGAGTTACAGGCTTTGTCTGCTGAAGGGTCTCCAGAGGCTGGGGGTGTGGCCAAGGAGGCAGGGGGAAGACGGCAGGCCTGGGCAGGAGAAGAACCTTCTCCAGCTACCAGGGTGCGTGGCAGTATGTGGCTCCCTCCTCCTCTGTGCCTGCACAGCCTCCAGCCCCAGCTGGCCACGGGGTGCAGGTTCCTCCCTCCCCTGCTCCCTCCTATGAAGTTACACTGTTGGACAAGCTGTGAGAAATCTGCAGTCTACTGTCCCCGCGTGCTGGCATTCTTTGCTCTCTTGACAAGCGAACTCTGTTCTCCAGATGGTAGTAGGACAATGCAATTGTTCTGAGCAAAGGAAAAAAAAACTGACTTTATTGCACTTTTAGTTTTTGTTTTTGTTTTGTTTTTTAACAAAAAATATGGCAGATGCATATTGTGTCTGGTTATATTGGGAGTTTTACTTTTTTTGTTTTGAGGGGGATGGGGCCAGCCAAGCCATTCAGAGAGAACATGGGTCCAGAGGACATGCTCAGTGGAAAAAGTTGGGTCTGCAGCACCCAGAAGAGAAGAAGCCAAACTCTGTGTCATTCTGAGTAAACGCTCAGGTTGGCAAGGAAACATACTTGAATACTCATTCATCTTCTCAACTGCTGAAGAATGTCCCTACCAGAACCTCTTGACCTCATCAGCCTACAGTTTGGACACCCTTGCTCTCCAGCACATGGGATGATCCAGCCAAGCCAGACTGTGACCAGAAGGAGATGCTTGACAAAAAAATTGGAAATAATCAGTTTCCTCCACTGCCAGGGACTTCCACCTAAATAGCCATGTGACTTCCATAGTAACTTGGGGGACAGATTAGTGATGAAAGAGCCACTGCCATATTGCCACTAGTGGACAAGAAGAGGAGGAACGTGAGCCTGCCTTCCAACTGCCAGAAGAACCTCAGGATTTGGTATCATAGGGCCAGGAAATAAAATCGGCGTGTACTGTCTGCCCCAATAGCTGAGTGATAGCTTTTGGGCTGGCCTGCCTTACTAGAAAGCACCCACAGATCTTCTCCCAGCAGGTCCACAGCAGCAGGCTGAGGACTGAGCATGTGGGGCTGTCGTGAACAGGAGGATAAGATTGGTTGGTGCTGGAAAATTCCAGGGGAAAGGATACTGAAATGAAAGGTCTGAAATTATCTTCTCAACTGGATGTAGACTTCTTCCAAATAAGATGGCCACGTATCAAGAGCATGTTTTCCCCAGTCCACTGTCGGCCTTCCCATGTGGGGTAGTCAGCGAACCTACTACCGTGAAGGGTCTTGGTTCTTCATTCACTGCTTGGAAAGTCATCAATATGTGGAATTAATCTCATTGTGCTCAATTTTCATTTGAGCTCAGCGGATTTGCAAACAGTGATCTCATTCCAGATGTGATAGAGGAGAAAGAATCACGTCAGGGAACAAGGCCTTGTGTCTGGGAGTAGGGAGAGCTAACCATGGAGTACCAGAGGCTGGCGGTTTGGGGAACATAGAAAACAGTGCCTCTGGCTTGAGGTGGAGGGCCATCTTTTGGACTGGAGGATGTGGGGATACTTTCTGGTAGTTGGCATGTCCTGACAAGTCCCTTGATGCATCTCACATGGAGCAAAAATAGCAGTCGCATGGATCAGAGTTTCTGGGCTGTAGCCGTTCCATTGGGCCTTGGCTAGGAAGTATCACTTTACTGGCTCCAGACCCGCTCAGCTCATGTGTAGATCGCGATCTTTCATTTCTTTAAAAGAAATTTTCCTGTATACAGAACAGAGTGACTGGGAGACACAGTGTCACATCCCTTTTCCACAAGGATTTTGACTATTGCTTCTTCGATATTACCTAGTGGTTAAGGCACCATCATGGAAACTTATTTCTTAATTGGCATTTGGGCAACTTGAATTTCCTGTATAGTATCTTTAACTTCCTTATCCCTTGTTTCTCTCTCAAAGGAGGGTAAGGGAAAGTGGTGACAAAGCCTCTAGCATCCTGGCACTCCATACCCACTAAGTGCCTCCCCACCTCTGCTTCCACAAAAAAGCAAAGGCAGTGACCAGCTTGGCTCAGGGCAGGCCCCCTGCGGCTGGGTTTGTGACTTTATTTTGGGCTTAAATGTTTTTAAAGGCTAGCCCTTGAGGGGTTTAAACCTAAGCAGTTATGGGGGTTCCTTCCTAATGCACTGTTCTTTCTCTGCCCCCCCCACATCTCTTACTAGGTATGTGATTTTCATAACAAAGGCCATTAGCACTCCAAGGTGGTCCCAGACCCCAGAGAGATTCTATTGCAATCTTCCTGAAAAATAAAAAGCGAATAAAAAGACTACCTAAGGAATAATTTGGCCATCAGTACCATCCCCACCAGCACATCAGGGCTCCCTTCTCCACCCGTTTGCTATATTTGCTTAGCGCTGTGCCTCAGCCAGGCCCCCGAGGCTGGGCACCCCCTCCACCCACCAGCCACCCCAGTCCGCTCACTGCAGTTTTTTGAGCTTTCTCCATTTCTCAACATGGTGCCTAGGGATCTTTTCTTTGGGATTGTTGCGGTTGCTTCTGAGTTAGCAGTAAGTATTAACAGCATCTGTTCATTAAAAAACCCTTACTACATGCCACCAGGAGTTCTCCCGAGCCCTGCGGCCCCTCTGGCATTGTATCCTGAGCAGATTGAGGGAGGCAGGCCAGCGATCCAGCCAGGCATAAACGGTCCTTCTGTATGCCCAGAGGATGACCGGCGTCTGCGCAGTCGGGCGTTGCAAGGGTTGAACCCTTGCCACACACACGTGCCATTTCCCAGGGATCTCACTCTGGACTCCTCTGCAAGGGCAGGCAGTGTGCCAGCAGCCACTATGCTCTCGTGACCGCCTTAATGAACATTCTGCTGTACTGGGTCTGTCGAGGAGTAAACAGAGTCTAAGAAGGTACAAGTCAAGGGACTCGGCTGACCTCCAGTTCAAGTTCCATTTCACTCTGACCCGCAGGGGCAACAGGAGATGGCAGGATCCTGGAGTTTTCAGTAGTGGTGTTGATTTGCCTGTTTATGTCCATGAACTCCGAGTACAAAGAAAACAGCCCCCGCCGGAAGCCAGAAGAGGGTCCATCGCCTCTTTATCCCAACGTAGTTCACTGGAAGTGTATGCTGATGGTGCATATTCAGTGTTGATTCTCAGTGCGAGTAACCATCTTTAATGTCAGAAATACGCAGTGATGGTAATGTATGTCGGAGTGGTTACTAAAGATCATAGCCTTAAATTTTTCATATGCAAAAGATAGAATTTATCCCCCCTCTCCCCCCGCCCAGTGAGCAAGGCATGGCCTGCGTTTCTCAAAAACAGCCCAGAAAGCATCTCAAAGGAACGTATTCTTCTGATGCATCTCTCCCAATTCCACCTGCTTCGTGTGTGTCCCAGTCACCTCTTTCATTTTCATATTTAAGCCAGTTTTCCATCCCCAGTGAGTTGCCCTGACAATATCATCTCCAGTGTCAGCCACGTTAGGGCTAGAGTCCCTCAGATTGGGAGCTTAGAGCACCATCTGGCCAACATTGCCTTTGCCAGTCCACTGCCACCCTCCCCACACTGCCCCAAGCTGGGTGGATGAATTCCAGCAACCCTTAGGGAGCCAGCGTCACATGGCACCCCGTCTGGATTGGCCATATGAGCAACAGGCACTTGTCTCTGGGGTTCTTGCTTTTGCCAACTCCAGACCTCTGGGAAAGCCCTGTCTAGAGATTGATGGCCAGTGACTCCCAGTCTTCCCTGTGATGGGTCAGCAGGAATCGAAATGAGATCCATATAGTTTTGTTGTCTTGTTTGGGGGCTGGGGTGGGGGTGAGGGGTGGCTTCGTTTCTGAATCTTAAAAAAAGGAAACCACGGCCCTTGTGAGGGTTTACAGAGTTTTGAGCAGTTTTTAGCCACAAATAAGGAATCTTGAAAGTCTTCAATCAATTAAGCAGTCTTAAAAACAGGTTTCTCATAACTACTTTTGCAGGTGACTGAGTGCAAAAGAATAGGTTTCTCCATTGTATTCAAAATAGTAAGTAGGTTCCCTGGATATAGACAGTAGTAGTTGACAGATTTCCTTAAAAAGCAACCCACCCCAGTACTTGTAGATCAGCTTACAAAGGAAAAAGTGAACGTGTACTCCATATATTTTTAGTTTTGTTACCAAACTTGATGTTATAAAGAAACCTTGTTCTGTGGACAGAATTTCTTTTGTTACTTTCCTCTTTGTCCTCACAATCATATTTCCAGTGCCATCACCACCTTCAATGTCTCAGAGCAGAGGGTTATCCATGGTAATGTGGGGGTGCAGTGCACTCATCCCGATAACACACGAGGACAGCTGCCTGACTGCCCCTTCCCTGCAAACCCCCCTCTTTCAGGGCAGGTGAGACATTTTCAGTGTTCCTCTTCATGAGCTCCAGACCAAATCCCAGGCCAGCCCTTGCACCGAAAGCTTTCTTTAAGAGGTTTGTCAATCTGTTAGGAATGTCTCAGGAAAAATGAGCCATTTCTTTGGGGGGAAATACACTTACAAATGGGTGTATGTGGTTGCACTTGTATGCCTGTGTGTGTGTGTGTGTGTGCACGCGCATTCGTGCACATTCTCATCTGTGCATTTCACTTCCATAAAGACTTACAGCCCAGGCCGCTGGGAACATGTGTTACTGCATATTCTCAGAAGTAAACAACTAACAAGTGAGCTTCTCGAATTAGTGTCACAGGAAGCTGGCTCTGGGAATGAGCCCCATTTATCGAGCAGAAGAGTAAACAGCAGAAAAGATAAGAGATGAAACCAAAAATATAACCACCCCCCCAATGGAAAGTAATGTTGATTCATCAATTCCCATTGGATATATTACATGCTCTAATTTATTATATTATTATTTTGTCTGTTTCTTTAATCTTTGCCCATTGTACTTAAAAGAAGATGTTGGGATTTGATTGCAATTTTTTTAAGACTAGATGATGTATAAATCAGCTGTGGAAATCAGTTTTAATTGCTGTGTGGATGTGTCTGATTATTGTTAAATTTTTTTTTCTTTTTGTTTTATTTTAGATATGTGATGTTTCATAAACCCTGGCACTGGTCGCATAGCTCAGCTGTGAAAATGAAACTTGTAGTATTTTTAAACATGAATGTCAATTTCAAGTGTATTTGAATGGTTCCTCCAGGGAGAGATTTGTACATCATTGGGAGAAACTCCTCTGCAGAGGAAGTAGCCTTCTTTGGGGAAAACAAAAAACAAAAAAACAACGGAAAATGGGTCTTGATATGTTATCTCAGAGTAGCCCATTTCCTAGGGCACCATGGAAAACACAAATGTGATCTTTAAGTATACCTCTTCCCCAATTTGGGGAAGAAAGGACTCAGTTTGCACCCTTTTTGTATGTAAAATAAAATGTCTTACCTTTCTTGACTAATTTTCTTTGGTTTGTTGGTTGGTTTGTCTGGTTTTAATTTCCCCTGGTTGGTTTGTAACAAAGAATCCAGCTGAGATTAATTTAGATATGACTCAGGGCTGATGAATGAAAATAAGGCCTGGTACTTTGGCATTTTTGCTTCATTCCTTTGGGTTGAACATTGCTCTGTCCTGTCAGTCACTTGAAATATTCCTGGCAGAACTTGGACATTCATGACTCACATTCTGGTTCCAGAATCCCTGGTTCTTAGGTAGTAGAACATCTTAGGTAGTAGAACACCAGGAAGTTAAGATAGCTTTGTTATTCTGCTCTACTAATTAACCATCTATACAGATAGAGGATAAAACTATGATGTGCAATTATAAAATCACAAGTGTGTGCATGTTATGTATATATAGCCACAGATCAACTGTCAATCGGCATGATTGGCTAGTTACAATTTTTGTTACTAAATTACTACTTAATTTGTGTTTTTTCAATGGTAGGTAAGTAAGCAGAAGACATGTTTTAAGATCATCATGAGAGGAAAAACTTCACATTTAGAACATTTTATCCATCAGGCTTTTTTTTTCTTTTCTTTTCCATAGCGGTGGGGGAGGTACAGAGGAGGCTGCTTTTATGCTGTTTTAGCATTAGCTCCTCATATGGAGAAGGGTACTTTGAAAACATAAATTTGGTAAACATTTTTCCCAGTAGCTATGGTTAGCATCAGACCAGTCAGTGGCAAAAAAAGCCTGACCAAAAAAACGATGGGGGGTGGGGGTATGGGAAGATTAATCCTGTCAGTGCAACAGTTTTACCTAGAAGAACCTTTACCAGATTGAGGTGGTCTGAATTGAGGTGTGAAGATTAGAAACAGCAAATGTTACGTGTGTTTATCTGAGACTATGGAAGCTTTGCACCTTGGCCACATTGAACTTGGTGTTAGCAAGGACAGGTTAATGCCAGCGGCCATGCATAAATTCCAGCTTGGCCCAGACCTCATAAAGAGACCAAATTGCAGGTTCAGCTAATTGAAACAGAACAATTCCTACCTATAATTCAGGCTGTGAAGACCTAGAATTTCCATATTAATCTTTGAAAACTGGTTTAAAGACATTTAATAATGTCATAGGTCTAAATTTTAGAAAGATGTGTAGAAATTTAGACATTTATTTAGATCCCGGATTATTAAATGTATAATAATCCCGATTATTAAATTTAGGTTATTTTAATTATAGATTATTTAATTAGTTAATAATTTAGATTATTAAATTTAAATTATTAAATTATTAGATTATTAAGTTTAGAAATTTATTTAGAAATTAAAATTTTATTTTTCTGGGTGAGACTCCCAGTGATGAAGTATGGATGTGGTAGAGAGGAACAAGTATGAGAGCATCTGACAACTATCCCTGACCTGGAGGTGTCAAGAAAACTGAACCTGAGGCCATTTCATATATATATATATATATATATATTTTTTTTATATATATATTATATATAAGATTATATATTTATTATAGTTATATTTATTATATATAATATATAATTATATATTATATATAATTATATATAATATATATAAGATTATATATATATAAAATCATATATCTATGATTTTCCACCTCCCTGTTAATGATGCTATTGCAATCAATATTTGTTGGACACTTAGCCCTGCAGGAGTGTTGGGGGAGATGTACACAAAAGTGCAACACATGCAACACAGTTAGTTGCTCAAAAAAAAGTGGTTAGTTGGCAGCGCCTGGGTAGCTCAGTCAGGTGAGTGTCTTACTCTTGATCTCAGCTCAGGTCTTGATCTCAGGGTCGGAAGTCCAAGCCTGTATTGGGCTCTATGCTGGGTGTGGAGCCTACTTCAAAACAAAACAAAACAGTTTACCTGGAAAAATAGGTAAAGAAAGGAAGTTAAGAACCAGAGTATACAAAAATAGTGTGCTCTGACTCATACATACAGCAATAAGCACACTAAAACCAGAGAAAACAGGTACTAAAGTGACAGGGACTAAGTCAAAAAGGAAAGGTTCTGAAGCAAGACAAGTAGAAGGCGCAGTATAAAGTAAAAATCTGGGTTAGCAGAAGTATGCTCCGAATTTTGGGAAGCTACAATACTTTTTTTTTTTAAGATTTTATTTATTTATTTGACAGATAGAGATCACAAGTAGGCAGAGAGGCAGGCAGAGAGAGAGGAGGAGGCAGGTTCCCTGCTGAGCAGAGAGCCGATGTGGGGCTCGATCCCAGGACACTGGGACCATGACCTCAGCCGAAGGCTGAGGCTTTAACCCACTGAGCCACCCAGGCGTCCCTGGGAAGCTACCATACTTAAACCCAAGCTAGTGGTGGCTAATGCTTGACTGGCCCAAGTGGGAAAATATCAAACCTTCTTTCCTTCCAGTCCCCGGCCCTTCTAACATAACTAATCCTCCAGACAACTTCCCTCCGCGAAGGGAAGGCTGGTTACGGGAGTGGCCGCTCTGCATGCTGGGGTTTGTAGTCTCCTCAGAGACCCAATCCGCGTGCTCTTCGGGGCGGTGCCGCCTTCCGGGATCCTCTTCCTGTTGGTGGGCCCTGGCGAGGTGGGGAGCCAATGGGGCCACAGAAACGTGGCAGCCACCCACGAGCCCGCGTCTTGGCCGGCCCTGCTGGCGAGCCGGGCCGCGCCCCCCGCAAGGCCCTACTATCCGGCGCCAATCCAGAGGGGGAAAATAGGGACGACCTCCCGCCAGGAGACTGGCAGGAGCCCCGGTTTCCCCCCTCAGTCGCTCTCGGTGGTGGCGCCGGTGCTCTCGCCGACGCATCCCCACCCTCTTCCGGCCCTCGGCTGCCGGGGCCGCGCTCTCTTTGCCGGTGGATGCTGCGCCTCTCTGAGCGGAACATGAAGGTCCTCTTTGCCGCCGCCCTCATCGTGGGGTCCGTCTTCTTCCTGCTGTTGCCAGGACCCTCCACGGCCGACGAGAAGAAGAAGGGGCCCAAAGTCACCGTCAAGGTCCGTCCTCCCCTCTTCTGACCTGCCTGGCGAAGCCCACCCCCCGTCGCCGGCGTTCTGGCCCCGCAGCCGCAAGTCACCGGTGTCCGAGGCATATAAGCTCCCGGAGCTCAGGCTTGGGCGTCCTTGGCTTTGGCTCAGGCCCTGCCTAGGTTCCCGGCTGTGGTCTCGTGGCGTCCGGGCTTTTCTGCTCCTTCAGACCAGAGACTGCCCGGCCCTCCCCGACACCCCAGCCCCTGCTTTGACCCAGGAGTGGGCGCCCGGCATGTGCAGCCGGGGCTGACACTGTCAGCCTGAGAGCAGTTTTTGCGAATACCGTTCGGCGCTGGGAAAATAGTCAAGGATCACGTCTGGCCAACTGTGAATCCTTTTCTTTACTCAGGCCAGATGTTACCCACTTGGAATTACGAAGCACAGCAGTCTCGTTCAGGCTTGCATGATGCTAAGTTAAATTCCCCTCTTACGGTTTTTTGATGATCATTTCTAGAATCTGCGCTCATTTATGTAGACTAAAGGTTGTTTGCTACCCTATGGTCTAAAGGGAGTGCAAACAGACATTTTCTGGGAGAAGTGTCTGGAGCCTTCATTACATTCTCATAGGGTTTTTGTTACCACCGTAATCCGGTTCAGAACCACTGTTCTCAAGATAGGGCTCTTTTCTGTACGACCTTCATGGTAGCTTCTTGGGCCCTGGCTTCTCTGGCAAGACCCCTTCAAAAAGGCTGAGTTTGAAATGGTCTTCTTCCTCAGGTGTACTTTGATCTGCGAATTGGAGATGAAGATATAGGCCGGGTAGTCATTGGTCTCTTTGGAAAGACAGTTCCAAAAACAGTGGATAATTTTGTGGCCTTAGCCACGGGAGAGGTAAGTGGCTGGAACAGAGGTAGTTGAACTCAAGTGAAGTTGGCACGTAAAGTTGGCAGCGAACTGAAGTGCAGAGAGTGGCCCATCTACAGCAGTAACCCTCACCGAGTACCAGCAGCTGACTGCTGTCCTGCGGCTCTAGGAACCTGGTATTATCGTATCTTCTGGAGGTTTTAAACTAAATCCAGAAATACGGATTTTTTTTTTTTTTTTGAGAAAAAAAAATTTTTTTTAGTTTTTTTTTTTTTTTAAGATTTATTTAAGATTTATTTGTTAGAGATACAGTGAGAGAGGGAACACAAGCAGGAGGAGTGGGAGAGGGAGAAGCAGGCTCCCCATTGAGCAGGGAGCCTTATATGGGGCTTCATCCCAGGACCCTGGTATCATGACCCGAGCTGAAGGCAGATGCTTAACAACTGAGCCACCCAGGCTCCCAGACAAAAAAAAAATTTTAAGACATTGCAGTAATCAAGGAAAACATATCTGTGGAAACTAGTTTGTGGCCTGTGCACCAGAACTTTCTCTTAAGGGTAAGGGGCCCAGAGCTTCCCAGGTTTTTAAAGAAACAGGAGTGCCCTGTTTAAGAAAGTTTGTATTCCTCTTAACTCTAGAGAACAAACAGGTGGTGGGGATTAAGAATACACTTACCAAGGGGCACCTGGGTGGCTCAGTGGGTTAAGCCTCTGCCTTTAGCTCAGGTCATGATCTCAGCGTCCTGGGATTGAGCCCCATATCGGGCTCTCTGCTCAGCGGGGGGAGCCTGCTTCCCC